GATTGTTTTCGAATGACGCTCACATTGTATACATTTCTTCTAGTGTTGCCGTTGAATAGCATCGTTTCTACTTCACTATCAATTGAATCCTTAATTACTCCTGAAATTGTAAATAATAGCTCAAATGAAGGTATTCTGCCACTTCACTTCTTAACACTTAATGATTTGACAGATGGCATTCTCATGCAAAAGAATGAACTACTTACATTGCGCTAGTAACTTAGTTTGAGGATAGATTAGAAAGTGACTGAATAATGCAGTGTATATAACCATCAACCGGGTAATTTCTCACAAAATCTTAATGGAGTTGGTACATTATACATTTTGATTAATGCTGCATCACTTTACGCCACACAAACTTAAATAGCTGAATCAATAATGATTCACGTACCAAATAGAATACAAACGAATATGTTTTATTGATTGGTAACGCATTTCATGTGTGTGTGCTCACGTTTTAAGAGGCATATAATTCGCTCATACAAAGATAATTCATAGGCAACTATAGCACTTCTATCCACGAGGAATGGAACGCGACCAGTGGCCCTCGCCACTGGTGGTTGGACTGGCAACAGTAGTGCTAAGCCAGAGCATTGACCATTACCATGTGCATCGGATTGTATGATGCCGATTCATGGGTGCTGAAACAATACCCAATGGTGGAATGGGTGTGGAGGCACAATATCGTTTGTAGACAACTTAGTGTTTTCTCGGGAAGACGTGTGTTTTCCTGTAGATCTCAGATTGTGAGGTATTGGTTGCTATTCCTATTATACGCAATGTTTAGGAGCCTTTGAGTCACTTATATTCGTTCATTCATCATACTTATCTGCTCGCATGCATATGCTGTTTACTCTCCAAGTTAAGGCATGTAAATGAGCAACTTATGGCGTTTAATTATGGCATTAATCACCATGCTCAAAATACATAGTTGTGTTGTGTGCGATAGACTTACCTCCACGTGGTGCACCCTGGACAACGTGCGATAGACTTACCTCCACGTGGTGCACCCTGGGCAACTTTCAACCCTTGCTGGTTTTCTAAACAATTATTCTTAAGAATACGATAGACTTACCTCCACGTGGTGCACCCTGGACAACGTACTTACCTCCACGTGGTGCACCCTGGACAACGTATCTTCGTAAGGCAAAAAAGTCTATCACTCGCAATTTGCTTTGACTTCGATTTATTATGATTAGCTTGAAAAGAGTTTATAAGAGATTATGATTAGCTTGAAAAGAGTTTATAAGAGAAATCGCCCCCTTCAGGGCGAATCACAACGTCTACAGATCCTCCAGTGGAATACTGGAGGGATGTCAGAGGGCAAAATGATCCAAGTCCAGAAAATCCTACAAACCTATGATGTAGACCTTCCACAATTATGAAAGCAAACATTTCGGTTGATGTAGCCATTTTCACAATTATGGAAGCTAACATTTCGGATGCCACCCCTTTTCACAATTATGGAAGCAAACATTTCGGATGACAAACAACCAATTCCCAGGTTACACCCTGTACCTTCTACCTAAATAAATTCTCAGGTTACACCCTGTACCTTCTACCTAAATACCGGGGCAAACATTTCGGATGACAAACTGAAGTACTACCAATTCATATCATTTCGGTTGACAAACTGAAGTACTACCAATTCCCAGGTTACACCCTGTACCTTCTACCTAAATACCGGCAAGTTGCAAGTGGAATTATGACTGGAAAAAAAGAAGGCCTCACCTCACACTAAGGTCTAATCAAGAGTATGGGCTAGACACAAGACATGTGAAATAAGCAGATAAAATGTTTGGAAATGTCAAAACCACTTCAAGGTATATGCATTTCGTTTGGAAATGTCAAAACCACTTCAAGGTATATGCAGTCTGGGAAATGTCAAAACCACTTCAAGATATATGCAGTCTATAACCGAAATGTCAAAACCACTTCAAGGTATATGCAGTCTATAATTCACCACAGAATTGTCCCAGCTTTGAATTTCTAAACATCTCATACAAAACTGAAGTATTAGGAGACTTCAACGCTCATTCCATCAGATGGGGCTACAAGGATACAAACGTACCTGGAAAGGAAATCGAAGACATGCTAAACAGCGACCCTCTGGAACTTATTTACAGCAATGAGGATCCGGCTACATATTTGCACTACAATGGAACCAGAACAATTCCTCAGTCCTGGCTTCAAGCCACATCAGTGAGCATCCGAATTTCCTCTTGGCTTCAAGCGACATCAGCGAGCATACACGCCGCACATAATTGACGATCCTGGTTCTGGTCACAAACCAGTCATTGCTAGTGGCAAGCGACATCAGTGAGCACACACACCGCAAAATAATTGATGATCCTGGTTTTCTGGTCACAAACCAGTCATTGCTAGTATTACCATCGGTTGCAAAAGCATGAGTCTGGTCACAAACCAATCATTGCTAGTATTACCATCGGCAACAAAAGCAAATGCAAAAGGAAATGCCAACAAAGCTATTATGGAACTTCAAGAAGGCTGACTGGCCTAGATTCACAAACCTTTTAGAGAATGAACTTCACACAAGTCCCCTCAACTTCAACCAACATCCTGACAAACTTTGCACTGATATCACGAATATTATGATCAGATTTGCAAAGAAAACTATTACCCGAGGCAAGACTAAACACTATCGAGTGTTTTGGTCTAGGCACCTTGAGGAAGCTAAAAGAAAGCGGGACGCCCTTCGCAACACTGCTGATCAGACTGGAAGAACGGAAGACGTACAAGCCTGGAGACGACAATCAGCTGTCCTAAGGCAAGCCATCTTACAAGCTAAACGGACTTCCTTCGACAAGTTCATCTCAAATATCAACTATCAGAGTGATAGCCAAAGCATTTTCAAATTCCTGGGTAACCTCCAAAACAACAGAGAAAGACCCAAGAAAGAACCAATACGCTTAAAATAAACTGCTTACCTCCGACTCCGAAATAGCTAACTTCATTGCGAGGTTCTATTATCCAAGCAAAAAAATATTTCTGTCAGAAATTCTTTGTGTTCCTATGACTTTCAAGGCGTCGAGAGCAGGGTTGCTGTGGGGGGAATGAAATCTATCAGCTACTCCACTGCTTTCAGGTTTTTCGCAAATGCCTCCTCAGTCAACTGCCTCCCCCCCCCCCTAGTAATGAGTCTGCTGTGATGTGGATTGAGATTCACTACTTAATCCATTTGTTAGGCAACTTATCAACCGAGTGAGGAGAGCACTTGAGTTTAAATTAAAAATGATGTGAAGTTGAGAGGCGAGAGGCGAGATTTGCCTATTTAACTCTTCTCGCGAGAGCGTCCCACTCATATCAGCATCCAGTTGAAGAAAACTGGCGTGGGCAAGTTGAGCGTGTCGAAGATTGAAACGATTGCCTTCAAGCCGTGCCTGAGTCAAGGATGCGTCGGCCAGTTGGGGAAGTGGTTCAATGAAGCCAGAGACAAGCACAACGAGGATAAGAATGCGACTGGCACGCAGAGGATCGAGGAAGAAGAGGAATGTGCGCACCACGTAGAAGAAAACTGGTGTAGACAAGTTGAGCGTGTCGAAGATTGAAACGATTGCCCTCCAGCTGTGCCTGTGGGGTTGGTGATTGATATTTTGATCACCTCAATTGGATTCAAAGAGATGTGCAAATCGATTTATGTATCATCCTCAATATCTACGAACACACCAAGGAATAATACTATAAGTGGCGTGGTGTAATAAAGGTCATTAATGTTTACTTGTGCGTTTGAGGTCAAATGGTTGATACCAGTACAAGCATGCACCACCAGATAATAAAATAAGTTGCTTGGCCCGAACTAACATGACTTGGACTAAAATGACCTGAACTAACATGCACTTCTTCTATTCATTCAGTACGCTTGCTCACAAATTGCGGTTTTAGTCATCGGGGAGCATCGTGACCTTGAGCAGTTGCATATATAATCCCTTGGCGCAGCTGAAGAGCATCATAATTCGCCTACGTCTGTTCACTGATCGCACTGTTACCAAACGCTCGCACAATGTTCAGATCAATTGATACTAATCCCACTACTTCTAATCAATTCTTCACCAAGGTGAGTTCGCCATTGTCACGCAATTAATTAGCTA